GCCCTGGGCAGCAATGTGACTCTGCAGGTGTTTGTGCTGGATGAGAACGACAACGCGCCCACACTGCTGGGGCCTTTGGCTAACGGGGCTGGTGGCACAATGAATGAGGTAGTATCTCGGGCTTTGGTGCCTGGCCAGGTTGTGGCGAAAGTGCGGGCAGTAGATGAGGACTCTGGCTACAATGCCTGGTTGTCCTATGAGCTGCAGCCGGCTGCGGGTGGAGTTCGTAGTCCCTTCCGTGTAGGCCTGTACACAGGAGAAATCAGCACGACACGTGCACTGGAGGAGACAGATGCATTGAGGCAATGCTTGTTAGTGTTGGTGAAGGATCACGGAGAACCTTCTCTGACCGCTACAGCCACAGTGTTGCTTTCTCTGGTAGACAGTGGCCAAACACAGAAGGTCTCATCTAAGGTGTCAACCGGAGACTCCAGAGTGAATCAGGGGATAGTGGATGTCAACGTGTACCTGATCATCGCCATTTGCGCGGTGTCCAGCCTGTTGGTGCTCACCCTGCTGCTGTACACAGCGCTGCGCTGCTCGGCGACGCCCACTGATGGAGTCTGTGCTCCGGGGAAGCCCATGCTGGTGTGCTCCAGCGCTGTGGGGAGCTGGTCATATTCTCAGCAAAGGCGACAGAGGGTATGCTCTGGAGAGGGTCCACCCAAGACCGACCTCATGGCCTTCAGCCCCAGCCTACCTCAGGGTCCCAGCTCTACAGACAACGTGAGTCTTAAATATTTTTCTCTCCAGGCATGCAAATGACAGTTTAGCTGTTTTTCATGATGTCATCTGTTAATCGCAACACGCGGGAGGCTGAAGCAGGAAGATATTAAAGTTTTAGCCCAATCTGGCTTACACAGGGAGTTTCAGGCCAGTTTTGGTTTCTCTTTCATAAACTTGGTAATTTATGTTGGTCTATAATATTGATAAAAATTTGCTAGTATGAATAATGTCTTTACATTCTTTATTTAGCGGATTTCCAAAATTAAATGTTTGCATATCCAGTTTGTTTCTCAGTGCCCAGACCTCTTAGAGGTCTTGTTCCTACAGCGTGCTAGGCAAGCACTCCTGATGAGTCCCAACGCTTATCCATCTTCATAAATCCTACTGTAAACTAATTTAAATATATATGTTGACCTATTGCTCCTTCACTGTGTTGTGCATATTTTACCACAACAGGAGTTTCAACATTATTGGTTTAATATTTTTTACAAGTTGAATTATCTCAGTTTCTTATTGCAAGAATTTATATTTTCCAACCATATTTGTGTAGCATTTTCTGTTTTTAAACCTTATTTGTAAGATTGTACTTGCCATTTTTGTGATAATTAGTATTATTTTAAAATATAGTTCTATCAAGACTTAAGTCCTTTATTTGGCTCCTTGCTTATACAGGGAATATTCACATTTAAAATGTAGAAGGCTTGTGTCTAGTGCACAGTGAAAGTTATTCCTAGTTCTTACACTGAAGTACTTACTTCTCTGAATTCTGGGAGACTTTGGTTTCTATTTTATATTCCAAAATTGAATACATGTGCAACACATCTTTCTATTTTACAAAAATAATGACACTTAAAACCTCCTTTTCTGCATATTTGCACTTCTCTTGCAAGGCATACTTCATCGCTTGTTTCTTCATCATGTCAAGCGTCTGCAGCTTACTTTATTACTCAGATTCAAATCAAAACTTCTTAGTTAAGTCGTTCATTGTGTGCATCCACGGTGCACAAGGCTGATCATAAAACTCGTGTTATTTTTAAAATTTCAAGTATTTGTTTAGTTACCTCTGACTATCAACTTTCAAAGTTGATTGAATTCTTATATGTGCTATGAGATGATTTTTAAAATATTTTGCTCTTGTTTTCAGTATAAATAAAAGCAAATGTGCTCAACTCATGAGCGGCTCTCATAGGAAACCTAACCGACGAGCACTACCATAAGCACAGAAAATTCTGCTCCTGCTTAAAGAACAGTCCATTTGGAGAAGATTTATGATTTTTATAGAGTTTTAGTGAAAGTAATTGTAATAGTCTTATTTATTTAAAAATTTTTGCTTTATCTTACATGGATATACCATTTTAAAGCCTTCCTAGAAAATTACTTAATACAAATTAAAATTTTTTGAACACCACAGAAGTTGACAGGAGAACCTCCTTACCACAACATCTATATTCATGAAATATCATGACTTTTTGTTGGAAAATCATTTTGAGAGATACAAACTCTTTCAGCTTCTTTGCTGGCTATGGGATATATTTGTTGTTTGTAAAATTCACAGAGATTCTGTAAGTCCATTTTAGTGATGTCTTTAATGTTATTTATAGAGATAGTCTTTTGTAAGTAAAATGAGGATAAATTTAATATTTTCATAGGAAACTTCATTATTCCTCTTTTCTGCTTTACTTTCTTGTCAGTACACTTAATGTCTGTAGCTAAGGGCATATTCTTATTCCAAGCACTAAGAAGCAATTAAAACGTTACATAAGTATGTTTATCATATCCTCAAACATCCAGATTTTAAAGAACTTAACTAAAAAGCCATGAGTTTTGCTTTATTTAATTTTAGAAACTGAAATTATTCAGTTAGAACTATATTTATGTAAAAATTATAACCACTAAAACTTTCCATGTGATGTAACTTTTGTAGGTCCTCCACAGATTGCAAGGATAGGAATCTATAAAAGAACAACAGATTTCTTTGAAATAATCAGCAGTTTAGTGATAAGGCCACTAGAAGAATTCCAGTTAACATTCATCTTATTGAATGCAGTTTAAAAAATACAATGAATTTTTGGAGAATTAACTTCTGAAGTTAACTTTGAGGGTAGCATTTTCACAGATAAAAATGAAGTAAAAATTCCTAAACAGAAACTTTTTAGGAAGAGGTGGTGTATTTCTGTAAAATATGATTCACAGTGAAAAGTGGTGAGAGACAACATGAAGGAGACCTGATGTGAGTCTGAGGTCTTCATACTTGTCACATAGAAAGCAAATGTGCCGGAGGTCTTAGCACACTTTAGTAGAAGTTATAGCCATACGTACAACATTTGTGATATATAAAATGGGAAGGGTCTAGAAAAACTAACTATTGTATGCAAGGGAGAACCAGTAATAAAAATAAGTTTGGGACTATGTCTAAGTAAATTTGGAGAATGGTCAATGGTATAGAAATTGCGATGTTCAAATATTTAGATTTGGTGGTAAGTATTGAAATTTATTTTGAAATTTTTGAGACAGGGTTTCTCTGTATGGCCCTGACTGTCCTGGGTTTCACTACATAGAGCAGGTTGGCCTTAAACTCACAGCAATCCTCCTGCCTCTGCCTCCCTGATGCTAGAATGGAAGGCATGCACCACCATCTTTGAAGTTATAGGTTTAAACATGCTTCAAAAGATAAACTAGTCTAAAGACATTGACACAGAGAAGACTCTCATCAAGGGAAGAGCAAAAGGTATGAAAAGGTTGAAGTCGTAATTTTGGAATTAGGCTCATATTTGGAGCAGAAGAAAGATCCAAATCCAGCAAAGATTGATCTACTATTTGGATTTACAATGACTGAGAAGTCTATAAAAGAAAATGTTGTGAGAGGCTCATGTGATACATTATGCATATATTGCTTGTTGGAAAAATACGTCTTCATTTTCCAAGAGTTTGTAAGCAAGATAGTTTAAAATATTTTTATGTTCACTGAAAACATCAAGAGGAAATTTAATAAGAACTCATAAGAACACATATAAACTTAAGAAAAATTAGAATTATATGTTAATATAGGATAATATATTTCAATGACCAGCTGCCAATGAACAAATTTCTTCCACAGACAAGTGTGGAGGGAATTATACTTGTGATATGTATGTCATTTCCAGTTCATAACACATATTACAGAGTAATATTTGCATATTGCTGGTAGATCAGTATTTAAAATATTGGGAGGAGACATTTTTACTTATGAAGAGATCTCTCACCGATACGCAATCTCTGTGAAGAAGAGAAGATAAGCATACACTCACTTGTAGCACTGAGAATCTACTATTAAAGAATAAAAAAAGAAAGAAAATATTTATATTATGAAAGAACCCTATTATTGCCCAGGTTGTTAAATCTTTGGACTCATTACCAATTGGAGCCACATGATGTCGCTGTCTATCAAGGTCTGGATCGCTCAGATCCCAAGACTTTCTCATAGAGGTATGTCTCTTAAAAGCTGAACAATGGCAGTTGCCGCTCAACTGGATTAAAGGATTCCAGATGCCCAAGAGTTGATCTTTATATCAAGACCAGCTTTTCTCAAAGGAACAAAAAGAGTACTTGACATGGTGTTTTCTCGGCGAGGAGGTCCGGATTCCCGGAGTCTGCTGCTCTCGCTTCTGCTGTTCTCAATCTGGGAAGCTGGGAGCGGCCAGCTCCACTACTCCGTCCCCGAGGAGGCCAAACACGGCACCTTCGTGGGCCGCATCGCGCAGGACCTGGGGCTGGAGCTGGTAGAGCTGGTGCCCCGCCTGTTCAGGGTGGCGTCCAAGGACCGCGGGGACCTTCTGGAGGTAAATCTGCAGAATGGCATTTTGTTTGTGAATTCTCGGATCGACCGGGAGGAGCTGTGCGGGCGGAGAGCAGAGTGCAGCATCCACCTGGAGGTGATCGTGGACAGGCCGCTGCAGGTTTTCCACGTGGAGGTGGAGGTGAGGGACATTAATGACAATCCGCCCGTGTTCCCGGTAAAAGAACAACAGCTGCATATTTCAGAATCCAGAATGCTAGACTCCAGGTTTCTGCTAGAGGGCGCATTCGATGCAGACATTGGAGCCAATTCAGTTGTAACGTATAGGCTTGACTCTAATGATTACTTCACACTAATCGTGAGTTCAAAGAACGAAGAAAGTAAACAGATTGAGCTAGCTTTAAGAAAATCGTTGGACAGAGAGGATGCTCCTGAGCATAAGCTACTGCTGACAGCCACGGATGGGGGCAAACCTGAGCTCACAGGCTCTGTTCAGCTGCTGATCACTGTGCTGGATGTGAATGATAACGCCCCTACTTTCCAACACCCTGAGTATGAAGTGAGAATCTTGGAAAACTCAGACAACGGAACGACAGTTATTAGACTAAATGCTTCTGACAGGGATGAAGGGACGAATTCTGCCATTTCTTACTCTTTTAATAGGCTGGTGTCGCCCAGGATTCTTGACCAGTTTAGCATAGATGCAGATTCAGGAGAAATCATAATTCAAGGGAATTTGGACTTTGAGCAAGTAGATGTTTACAAAATCCGCGTTGACGCGACGGACAAAGGACACCCTCCGATGGCGGGCCATTGCACCGTTTTAGTGAAGGTATTGGATGAAAATGACAATGTGCCTCAGATCACATTGACTTCCTTATCCCTGCCTGTTCGAGAGGACGCTGCCCTGGGTACTGTCATTGCTCTAATTAGCGTTTCGGATCTGGACTCTGGAGTCAACGGGCAGGTGACCTGCTCCCTGACTCCTCATGTCCCCTTCAAGTTAGTGTCCACCTTCAAGAATTACTATTCGCTTGTGCTGGACAGCGTCCTGGACCGTGAGACCACAGCTGACTATCAGGTGGTGGTGACAGCGCGGGACGGGGGCTCTCCTTCTTTGTGGACCACAGCCAGCGTGTCCGTGGAGGTGGCTGACGTGAACGACAACTCTCCTGCGTTCGCGCAGCCCGAATACACGGTGTTTGTGAAGGAGAACAACCCGCCTGGCGCGCACATCTTCACGGTGTCAGCGGTGGATGCGGACGCGCAGGAGAATGCGCTGGTGTCCTACTCATTAGTGGAGCGGAGGGTGGGTGAGCGCTTGCTGTCGAGCTATGTGTCTGTGCACGCGGAGAGCGGCAAGGTGTTCGCACTGCAGCCTCTGGACCATGAGGAGCTGGAGCTGCTGCAGTTCCAGGTGAGCGCGCGGGATGCTGGTGTGCCTGCCCTGGGCAGCAATGTGACTCTTCAGGTGTTTGTACTGGATGAGAATGATAATGCTCCTTCCATTCTTTTGGCTGGTACTGAAGGCTTGGGTAGTGTGGCAACTGATCTGATACACAGGTCTGTGAGCGTGGGTCAGGTGGTCGCAAAAGTGCGGGCGGTGGACTCAGATTCTGGCTACAACGCATGGTTGTCCTATGAACTGGAACCCTCAGTTGGCCTTCGCAGCCCATTTCGTGTTGGGCTGTACACGGGTGAGATCAGTACAACACGCGTTCTTGATGAGTCCGATTCACCCAGACAGCGCCTGTTGGTGTTGGTGAAAGACCATGGTGAGCCAGCGCTGACTTCCACAGCCACTATTCTCATGTCCCTGATTGAGAGTAGTCAGGCACCAAAGGCTTCTTCTCAGGCTTCTAGTCATGCTTCAGTACCAGAGGCATCGCTGGTAGATGTCAACGTGTACCTGATCATTGCCATTTGCGCGGTGTCCAGCCTGTTGGTGCTCACCCTGCTGCTGTACACAGCGCTGCGCTGCTCGGCGACGCCCACCAATGGAGCCTGTGCTCCAGGGAAGCCCATGCTGGTGTGCTCCAGCGCGGTGGGGAGCTGGTCTTACTCACAACAAAGGCGGCAAAGGGTGTGCTCTGGAGAGGGTCCACCTAAGACTGACCTCATGGCTTTTAGTCCTAGTCTTCCACCGCGTCCAGTATCAGAGGTCATTGGGGAAGGGCAAGATTTAAATGTCGATCATGGCTTTCAAGTAAGTCCTTTTATATTAAGTAATATTTAATATGTAGAAATGTTGTAACTCCTTTCATGGTATTTCACATTTGCACATGTACATTTTATTTTAGTTATAGTTTTTACTTGGTTTTTTATTTTTTGTTGTCGTACATTTATTTATTTATTTCGCATCTGAGATTTTACATTTTCAGGTTGGCCTGATACTCTTGAGTTCAGCTGACATGTCACATACTGGTTATTCGTACACCACAGTCTTTGTTGTTCCAAGTTTGCCACAAGCAATTTCATATTGTGTGGAGTACCACTTTTAGCCTTTGTATGATTTCAGTCTTGTGGAACAGAACTTTGGTGACATCCATGGGAATGCACTCCTCCAAACATTTTACATTTCATGTTTATTCTCTGAGCTTTTAATGTATTGTGTGGTATTCCTGCAAGGGTACATCTTCCACTTGTGCTACAGTCGTCACTTTCATGAGTTTTATTTTATCATCTTATTTTTCCATTTTGGTTCTACTGGATTCAAGATGTTATAACATTTATTACTGTTTTAAACCTTTAAGTCATAAAATGCAGAACAATTTTCTTCTTTGTTTTTTGGAGCAGGGTGTCTATCACACATCTCAGTTTTACATAAGCCTCATAATCCTCCTGTTTCAGTCCCCAGAGTGCTGGGATTTGGCAGTTTTCACCATTTCAAGTTTTATTTATTTATTATTTTACTGGTACAGAAGCTTTACACTATTTCAGTAACTTAATATTTTTTTGAACATCCTTGGCTGGTTGATAGTTGCTCTTATTCCAATAAACATCTGCTGAATTTGAATCAGTGATACAGTAAAATTGTGTTGATCTTTTGTGTATGAGCTGATGGATTTTACAAAGAAACATGTTTCATAGCGTGTTCATGGGCCCAAGTGCATAATCTAGCACCTCTCCTCCAAAATCTACATTAAGTTTACACTTAATATGGTTTAACAGTATAATAATGACCAAGAATACTGTATGTAGTAATTCTATTGTTGTAGGTAGATGTGCTATTTATAAATCATTATAAAAATACTCAAAATGACGAGGACATATTAGTTCACGCAGAAATATTTTTCTTTTTGGAAGTAAATCTGTTAAAAGTCTGACATAGTTTCCTTGTCTTTCAACGTTTAAATTATAGAACTTCTTCTTTCTCTCTTTGCTTCTTTTGTCTCCTTTATTTACTCTGAGTTTATATACTTATTAGATATTGAGCACATTTCTTAGAAGAGAACGGTTAGTTTTAATGGAAGTGAATTAGAGGTTTCGGGAACTCTGGACTCTTATAGCGTGTTAGCAATATAATGACACTGTGTAATCATTTATAATTATATTGTACCTTTTTCCCCAACTTAAATGAATCAGAAAGCAAGATATATTTTCTAGTTGATTTTATAATTTTCATAATTTCTGTCTATGCCTATCATCTTATTTTCCTAATAAAATACTCTATATAAAATGATTTATTTTAGCTCTCAGTGTTTAAGGACTTCTGGCTTTCTCTGTGCTTATGTTTATAACACTATTTGAACAGTGTGCACCCTCCTCTTAGTGGAAATGACTTTATAGTTACTATTATGTTGACATCTGCTTGGCTCTCAGACGTGATTTGATCATAGCCTCTTCCTAAATTTGAGCTCTTTTTGCAAAATATAAACATCAGTCAAAGTAAGAATCATCTAACACTGTATTTGGCATCTAATCATTTTAATCATCACCAATAATGTCTTTTGTTTTACTTTTAAACCCCCAGAAGATTAATAATAAATTTAACTAACCAATCAGTCAATTAATCAATCATTCATATTTGAATGAGAGACTAGAACTCAAAAGAGAGTTGTTCTCAATTGGAACCCAGGCAGAAAAGAATGGTAAGCATAAGTTTAAAATAGAACTCTCCCTAAACCCTGAATGAACAATACTAAAGATGAAATGCACTATGAGGTGATACAACAAAAGCTGTAGAAGAGATAGAGTGGAGATTGCTATTCACATAAGACAATAGTTGAAACAATCATTATGTAGGTGTAGGAATAAGAGATGATGGTGGGAACAGGCTATGCCAATATTAATAAAAAGAAATATATTCTATTTTCTTCCCACAAAGGTTGTTTAACTAAATTATATTTTAGAAATACTTTGTACATTTACAGTTCCTGAAATTACTTTAAAAACTAATTCATCTGAATATATTTACTGATATCTTTCATTCAGCATAAAAAAGTTTATTTTGATGGTAAATTTCGAGGTGCCTCGCTTTCTTATGCATCATGACCCACAGAACAATCTATTACATCAGGATCAAAATTTTAGGAATGTGGATGATCTTGCGTTACAGAACGAAAATACTTTTCAAATTTAATATTTGTGATGATGTAACTGATCATTTTAAATTGCCACTCCATTTTTTAACATTATTTTAAAAATTTGTGGACAGTTTTCCCAGGCACAAGAGAACTATAATTATGGCATTTCATAGTTTCAGAGGTCAGTCCTCTAATAACGCCTCTAGGAAAATGAAGGTGGTTTTCTATTTCAACAATGAGAAAATTCAGAGAATAAAATAAGGTTCAATGGTTCAGTGTCTATTCACCGAATATGTACTTACTTTTTGGGCCGCCTGATGTCGCTCTCGACCGCCTTATTCGTTCTGATTAAAAGACTGGTGTAGCCATCCTTTTTTCAGGGAGAAAAGACGCTCCATTCTTGTTTATTTAGTCTGATGAGCAATGGTGAACACGGGAGGGTGGAATTGAGAGAATCAGTTGGCATCTCTTCATTTGGAGGCAATTTAAGCGAATTGGAAATATCAAACTCCTGAAATGCTGTGTTTAAGCGGTGCAGTCCCAGAGGGCTTTCTACTGCTTTCTACTGCTTTCTACTGCTTTCTACTGCTTTCGCTTCTGCTTGTCACAGTTTGGGAGGTGGGGAGCAGACAGCTCCACTATTCAATCCTCGAAGAGGCCAAACACGGCACCTTCGTGGGTCGCATCGCACAGGATCTTGGGCTGGAGCTGCCGGAGCTAGTTCCTGGTCTTTTTCAGTTGGATTTAAAGGGCTTTGGGGACCTTCTGGAGGTAAATCTGCAGAATGGCATTTTGTTTGTGAATTCTCGGATCGACCGGGAGGAGCTGTGCGGGAGGAGCGCGGAGTGTAGCATCCACCTGGAGGTGATCGTGGACAGGCCGCTGCAGGTTTTTCACGTCGAGGTGGAGGTAAGAGACATTAATGACAACCCTCCCATGTTTGCAGCGACACAAAAGACTCTGTTTATTCCCGAGTCCAGACTGCTTGACTCGCGGTTTCCACTAGAGGGCGCGTCAGATGCAGATGTCGGTTCCAATGCTCTGCTGACTTACAGACTGAGCACCAATGAACATTTCTCTCTGGATGTACCGGCCAACCACGAGCAGGTGAAACCTCTTGGTCTCGTTTTGCGGAAACCTTTGGACAGAGAAGAAGCCGCAGAGATGCGCTTATTGCTCACGGCCATCGACGGAGGCAAACCGGAGCTGACCGGCACCATTCAGTTACTCATCACAGTGCTGGATGTCAATGACAATGCTCCAGTTTTTGACAGATCTCTCTATACCGTGAAATTGCCAGAAAACGTTCCAAATGGAACATTGGTAATCAAAGTCAATGCCTCAGATTTTGACGAAGGCGTGAATGGGGACGTCGTGTACTCGTTTTCTAGTGATGTTTCTTCAGATATAAAATCCAAGTTTCACATGGATGCTGTGAGTGGAGAGATTACAGTT